TCAGCAGATCCCCTGGGCATCAGCCTCCTGTTGGATCTCATCATAAAATGGTCCTCCACTACAAGAATCATGTCAAATTCCGACGGACGGCTTTCGACGAACATGTAATTCCGTTGGAAAAAAAAAATTCCGACGGATTTATATTCTGTCGGATATTTTTGACGAATTCAAATAATCCGTCAGAAATCTCCGAACGAATTAAAATCCGTCGGAAAGTCAGATTTCCCGACGCATTTAAATTCTGTCGGAATTGAATTAAAAAAAATAAAGAAAAAATAAAAACCAAACCCTAAACTCTATTTTAACCTACCCCTCATCCCACTTTCACTTCGCCTCTTTTTTCTCTTGAGCTTTCTCTCTCCTCTTCTCTTTCCAGCTTTCCTCTCTAATTCGCTTTTCTCTATCCTCTTCTCCTACTTTCTTCTTTCGTCCTCTACTTCTTCTCCTCTTCTCGTTCTTTTCTCGTCCTCTTCTCCTTCTCCTCTTCTCGTTTCCCTTCTCTTCTTCTTCTCCTCTTTCTCTTCTCTAATTTATTTAGGGTTTTAAGCCCAAAATCATTGCAATCACCTCTAATACCGTTGCCGCACGAGTTTAATGCTCTTTTATTTTTATCTTTAAGGGTTTTAAGGTCAAATTCGACCATAAAAACTCTAGATCTAGACTTTTCATAGTCGAATTTGGCCTTACTAAACCAAATTCAAGATGGAATTCAAACAAATTCTATTTAGGTATGTTTTTCGTATTTTTTTAATTTTTTTTCCGTTTTGTGTTTTTTTTTTTCTTTTTTTTTTTTGTGCTGTCGTAGTGGAACTGGTTGGGTGTGGTTTGGGTGGATCTAGATGGGATCAAGTTTCGTTTCTTTATTTTTCTTTTTTTTTCAGTTTAATTTTTCGGGTTGTGGTTGATGGGGTTGGGTGTGGTTTGGGTGGTTAGTGGGGTTGTGGGTCGTCTGGTTGGTGGGTAGGGTTTGTTTTGTTTCTTTACTTTTCTGTTTTTTTTCTGGTTAGTGCGGTTTGGGTGGGTCTGATTTGGTGGGTAGGGTTTGTTTTGTATCTTTATTTTTCCGGTTTGTGGTTGGTCTGCTTAGTGGGTTTGGGTGCGGTCTGGGTGGGTCTGGTGAGGGTTTGGGTTGATTGTGTGAGGTGGGGGCTGGTGGTGGTGTATGGTGGTGGTAGGCGTTTTTTTTTTGTTTTTTTTCAACATTTTACGACGGAATTTCCGGCGGAATTGTGTTCGTCAAAAATTTCCGACAAACTTTTCTGGGCCGGAAATCTCTTCCGACGACTGAATTTTGTCGAAAAATCCATCAGAAAAGTGTTTCCAACGGAAATTCCGTCGGAATAGGTCGTTTTCCTACAAAACCTTTTCCGACGGAAATTCTGACAGAAAACAAGGTGTTTCAGACGGAATTTTTCCGTCAAAAATAGCCAGTTTTCTAGTAGTTCTCCGTGATGCAGGGGAGAAGAGTTTGGAGTCCTATCCTTGGACTGAACCTCCTGAGCTTCGACCAGCTGATCAAGAGGAGGGGTCTGCTCCTTGATTTTCTCTTCAATCTTCTCTTCAGTCGGCCCAGGGGAAGGGAGTTGCTCCTCTATTTTTTCTTCTTCTTCCTCGACCCAAGGCTTCTTGGAAGGAATAGGGGCCATCAAAAACTGCCCCGATTTTATGACGGCTCTCCTCTTTGGCCCAGACATATCTTCGTCCGAAGAAAGGCTCTGGACAACTTCAGCACTTTCTTCTCTGTCATTCTCTTCTTCGTCTCCTCCTTCATCAGAATGCAGAAGAAGGAACAAGGGGGGTAGAATCGTATAAGTACCAAAAAAAAAAAACAACAACAACAACAAATAAACAGAAGACAACAAATCTGAAAGCTTACCAAAGTCTTGAGAAGACGCTCATCTTCGTCTTCTTCCTTTTCAACTTCTGGAGAATCTCGCTCAGCAACAAGAGTAGAAGTTGCGACAGCGGAAGAGGCACGGGATGCAGCTTCTTCTTCTTCAGCTTGCTGAAGAAGGAACGGGTCACGCTTCACCCACCAGGGTTTCTGCTTCTGATACTCAACAGCACTGACAATCTCGAACCTTTTGGGGTGCAGGCTGATAGGCCGAACCTTCGGATCAGTGATGGCAAGCGAATTAGTGATCGGCTTCCTCTCCTGGTTAATGTCGAGCACCTCGTAGTCTACGCCTGAATTCCCTTCAAACAACTCTGAAAAAGCAAAGCAAGTGTTAGTTTTGTAAAGAAAAGCAGACAATGAAAAATAAAAAAGAAAAAATAAATAAAGTCCTCGGCCCCAGCCAAGCTCCTTACCGCCTTGGTACTTTCGGCTGAGGTCGATGACAGCGAGCATCTTCTCACCAAAGATGTAATGGAAGTAGGACAACCAAGTAGTGGGAACCGTCGTTAATCAGCCTTTGGCCCAAGTCACTTTAGATCGGCCGAAATGACTCATCTGCGTCCGGTCTAAATATGTGAATTCATCAGGACCGATCTTAGACATGTGAGGGTCAGGCTGAACCAGATGCCTCGGCGCGCTGTAGTAATTTGGGTGCTCCGGATTCTAGGGAGCCCTTACCCAAATCCACTACCCTCGCCAATCTTTGTCTGAGGTATCGTTCAGCCACACCGAAAGATAACCCTTCTCGTCCTCAATGGCCCACCAACCGGGGCCATTATGTCGGTTCACTTGGACATTAGCAGTCAGCTTGTGTATGCAACGGAACACAAAGAGGTTGGGCGTAAATCCGAGAAACAGACATACCCATAAGTATGACATCAACCTTCGGATGCTCACGGGTGTCAGTTGAGACAACGAAATGTTGTAACCATTCAACACTTCACTTATAAAAGAGTGAAGGGGAAACCAGAGCCCGTACTACAGCTGACGAACATAAACGCCAAATTAACCTGGTGGAGGGCAGTGAATTCGGTCGTCCAGAGCGGGCATTCGGCACCAGTACCCATCCTCCTCCATAATGCCATAGCAAACCTCAACTTGCCCGGAGAAATTATACTCGGCGTCATTCCCGGTCCACCAATCATAAGGGGCGAACCTCATAAGTCCCTAATTAGAAGCCTCATCCAGCCACTCCCTTTCCTCGGGGGGGTAGCGGCCTAGACGCCAAAGCTTTAGCTTTGCTTCGGCCAAAAGTGCTAGCTTGTTCCGAAGCTCTGGGAGGGAGAGTACTAAGCGACACGGTGCTGAGGGCAGAGCTGCCGGTGGCGGCGTACCTAGCCCTAGCCCTAGGGTTTTGGCCGCTGAGTGTCAGTATCATCGCCAGAGGGCGTTCCGCCACAGAATCAACTGCGAAGCCTCCTCCTCTTCTTCTAAATTCGGCTCAGCCTCAGCCTTCCTCTTTCCATTGTCGTCGGCCTTTGTCAGGGTTGGTTACGCGAGTAAACGGAAAAAGAGGGGTACTTGAAAAGGCAAGAAAAAACGAAAGAAATTCGACAAAAATATTACCTTAGGTAAGCGCGGAATTTGTCGATCTACAAGCTCGGGACAACAAATTTCAGTTTCTAGCCTCGAATTGCTGAAAGAAAGCTAAAAAGGGAAGGAATGCAGTGGCAGTTTAGCGAGAAGGAATTAAGGGGAAAATTAGCAAGTTTGAAGTGAGGAGAGAGAGTGGAACGTGTGGCTTTTGTACCTGCCAGCTCAGGGAGTCTGGGAGTCCGCGCCATTAATCCCACTTACTCCACTCAAACACTCCATCTTCCCCATTACTTCTCAAATTAACTACCCACTAAATTCTCCAAATCCCCCATTAACTTCAAAACAAGTGTTAACTTCAAAACAAGTGTTATTGCCTCAATAACACCCAAAATTCAAATGTTAATTAAATCATTAGCTTCCCTCCAATTTGCAAGGCAAAACCCAATTCGTCAAACTTTCGAACCGAGTCTGGGGGGGGGCAAGTTGTTTGGGTCCAATTCGCTATAATTCGGTCGGCTCACAAATGATTTAATTAATAGCCTCTTCTCTCCAAAGCATGCCGAGTAAGTCAAATAGGCCCAGTCAGCGTGGCCAGCCCACATGGCTAGGAGGCCCAATAAAGCTATTTGAATACGGTATAAAAGCCTTGACTTCCCACTCTCTCAATTCATTCACATTAAGCCTCAAGCACTTAATACTCTTGCATAGCTTTCTCTCTCTAAATAGTGTACTAACTTCGGCATCAGAGGGGTCTTTCTCGGCACCACCCCCGAGGCTAGTTTACGTGTGTTTGCTATGCAGGAAACCCTCGTCCCAGTCATCACTTGGGACGAGTCCAATCTTCTGCCCACAAGAAAGGTCCATCCAAAACACCTACAAACCATTATTTGACAGTAGTTTTTTCATTGTTTTCTTTGTACATCTTTTTTACTATGAATTCTTAAATTATGTGTCAATATAGAAAGAAAGCAGTTAACCGGGTCGAGAAAAGATAAAAAGTATATCAAAATATTATTTTTGAAAATTACACATTGAGAAACCAAACTAGCTTTCATACAACTAAATGTGATAATATATATTGGTGGAATTTTACCCATACCTTTTGAAAAGTATGAGAAATCACTTATGAATAGTGTGAGGACAATTATATCCTTAAATTGTTTGTTTACCTATATGTCCCTATTAATATGATGTTAATTGCACATAAGCTTTTCTTTGTATGATTTAATGATTTAACTCTTATAAATAGTTTTTGACCTGGACAATTATACTCCCTAAAATGTTTACTTACGTATTTGTCCTCATTAATGTCAATTGCCTGGTTTTTAGAACTTTTAAAACTGTGTGCGGACATTTATACCCCTAAAATATTTATTTACTTATTTTCCCTCATTAATATTACCAACAACTGATCAAAGACCTCTCTAAACATGGTTAGCTATGACTCGCATGGCACACGTTAGCCACCCTAATTAGATCAAAGTTTTAACTACATAATCTCATCATGGAACGAGTAGTTGATTGGGCAAAGTTGTACTAGTCCTCTTTACAAAAATTGAGACTAAAGTTTGGATTTTAATTTATTAATTTTATTTATAATCACATTTTTCTTAAAAAAAAAACCAGATTACACACGTACATACTTGATACATTTTATCATACATCTTTGTTTTTAGGAGGTAACAAATTTAGCTACTTGCGGTTTATCGATTGGAAATTTGGAAGTCATATCAGTACTACTCCGTATTATATACTCTGTACAACTTTCAAAATTCTGAATTTGTCACACCAAAGTTGAGCAAGATGAGGTACTAGGATCATACAAAGCAGGCACCAAATATTTCCTTTTGTTAATACCATTCGCATTATAACTTGCTCCAGTAGATGAGTCCACGAGTAAATTACCAGCATACCCCGGGTAAGCACCTTTCCCATACACCCCTGGACAAGCTGTTGCAGCCTCAAGTGGAGCCTCTTTTGGGCCTTGGTAGTACCCATTTCCATACGGGTTCGTTACGGTCCCAGCCAATAGGCTAGCCAAGTTTATAACCATACCATCTAGGCCCACATCGTTGTTGGGTGCAACCAATGGTGGGCTTTGTGGGCCGTAAATGGGCTGGTGGAAGGGCCAGGCACATTGACCCGGACACTGAGTCTCGGAGTTACCTACCCAAATGTAGGTGAACTTTTGAGTGGTACTTTTGGACACGTAGGATGACCCGTGGGTCCCACACCGGCTTCTACAAAAACCATCAACTACCACGTCGGATGAAGTCAACACAATGTTGACTGCGTTGACTTGTTGACCACCTTTGGATGCCAGTTGGACAAGGTGCTTGTTGGTGAGTGACTTCCCAAGAGGATACTTCTCATCAATGAGTTGTTTGCCTAAAGAGAGGGTGAGTGACGTGGCAGTGTTGGCAGTGAGTTTCTTCGGATTAGCGAGGCGGTGATACTTGCCAATGGAGTTCCACCACGTGGCAACAGATGGTTTGGCTTGAATATTGGTGGATGACAAGGAGGAGATGAAATCAGAGATAATAGCACGTTGGGCGGGTTTAAAATGACCGTACCAAATAAGGTTAATTGTAATCTTTCCATTAAGAAGAGGACCCTTGTGGTATTGGAAGGTCATCGGCTGAGATGACTCAAGGAGTTGTCTCGCCGCTACGGAAAAGGCAAAGAGAGAAAGAAAAAGAGCAAGGTATAGGATCTTGGTAGAGGATGCCATGGTTTAGTAATGTAGGTTGTTTAGTAAGAAAGAGAATAAAAATTTTTGGATGAAGATAACAATAAAAGTAGAGGGTATATATATAGGAGAGTGAAGTACGTATAGTAAAGTCTATAGGATAGGAAAGTGTTTGGAAGAAGTGGACAAATGATGAATAAGTAAGCGTTGAAATTAGATGTAGGAAGATATAACGTAATAACAAATTAAAGACTAAATAATGGCAAAGCTTATAATATAAAGTAGTCATATAAAATCAAAGTGTAATTATTATGATGATTTTGGATGGGAGTTAGGAGAATTTAATTGAGCTAATAAATAACGTAATAGTTAAAGATTGGGTGTTAATATGGTGGGAGGAAGGAATCTGTGATATACTCTCAAGTAGATAAGAATGATGCATGAGATCAGCTGAAAGAGGCAGGTAGCTTAGAAAAGGTCAAAATAGAGCTGCCAGTGTGCTTGCTGTCATAAATTAAGGAGATAAGTTTATGCATGCTTCTAGCGAAAGGGTTACTACGTACTGTGCTTACCTGTTTCACAGATTCTTGATTTCGATGACTCTTTGTTATACAATCAATTATTCTGATCATTTACTACGGAGTATTATGGCAAAAGCTGACAGATGTTCCGAGGATATTGGTAAGATTACTAAAAATAAAAATATTAAGTCTAAGGAATAACAAAAAAAATTGTTTGTTTTAATTGGGTGTGAAACTTCCGAGACAAAAGTTTCACTTATACGGACTATAAGTTATATGGTTTTTTCTAAGGTAAGATGAACGGACTCTACTAAACTAGCATCTCTCACAAGTGAAGCTAGTCTAGCTCTATAAGTCAATGCTTAAGAGTAGAGGGGGGAGGTTAGGGAACTCCCCTACTCCCAAGCAAATTAAATGTAGTTGGTGGGGCTCAAAGTCACAAGATATCCCCCACCAACTCCACCAAGCTTTTCTGGGTACTTATACAAGTATATGGTAGATTTGATAAGTTACTCCATTCATTGATTGTGACTTTGAGATCACGAGTTTGAGTCTCACCAACTACATTTGCTTTGGAATAAGAGGATTCTCTAACCTAGCTTCCCGCTCTACACTTAAGCGTTGACCTGCAGAGCTGGCTAGCTTAACCTACGAGAGGTGTCGATTCAGTAGGGTCTTTAATCTTACCTTTAAAAAAAAAAAAAAAAAAAAAAAAAAAAAAAAAAAAAAAAAAGAGGGAAGAGTCAAAAGTACATGCAATGAACTATATAGATGGAAGATGGTACTCACTACTCAAGGTTCTAACAATAAAGATTGTATTCTCAAGTCATGGCATGCTATATTCCTTAGATTAATGTATTTTCACTGGACAAGTTTTATACAAATGCCTTATAAGACCACAAATGAACAAAATCATATATTATGCTACTTTGTCTTAAGTTCATTCTCATACTACATACCCTACCTTCTTTTTGGTAGGACAAACTACATAATCGTACATTTTGCAAAATTTAAATTGGTGCTGTAGAACTGTAGAAGTAGAACACTAAATTGAATTATTATGGCTTGTTAGTTTAATATAATAAAGTTAGAATTATATGCATAATTTAATACATTATCTTAGAGTCTATCCATCGAACTTACACAAAGCTTAGCTGGTTGGAGAATCTAATTAATGAAGCATTGACCACGGCTAATGGAGCTTCCTATGAATCAATATGAAAATCCATAATTCCCCACGAATGAAACTTCAATTATCAAGGAGACGATCCACGTGCAACACGAAATGTCAAATTTGTTTTGCCACGGTATAAGTCGTCACTGTTCCTTTCCCGATGACATGACCAAACTAGTCACAATTTTATATTCCTATTGTACTTTGTGTACCACTTTTGAGGAGCATTGTTTATGTCACTTAGGAAAAGCCTTCAACACTTTGCAATAACATCGGCAACAAGTCAGATTCTATGTTGCTTCATTTACCACATTTTAGTCATTCCTTAAATAATTCTCAAAATATAGTCGCGTTTTCGAAAACTTGTTTTGCTAGGATTCTGTAATAGATACAATGTGTGTGAGAATAATCGATCAATTACTATATGGTTCTTTACTAAATTGGGTTGGCTATGAATTCGCCAACGTGATAATTAAGACCGGTATAAAGAGAGTAAGTTTGACGGATTTTCCATATATAAGTTGCTAGAATTGACAGGTATATCATGATCAGGTTCATGCAATCGACAAGCCTATTGAGGTCGTAGAACAAAAGGGACGGATGAACAACTCCATCGTCATCTTGGAGAGGAGTTAGTCGAAATTTCTTCCAATGCTCTGTATGTAGAATGGTGATAACGATCTCGGTGGCCCATGGAAGATAATGTTCCATCACTCTTAACAAATCTAGGCTAATCATTGAGACACTGATCAAATTGGACAATTTTAGCCTTTCTAGGTAGGCAGCACCTATCTAACCAATGGCAAGCTGATATTCCAGCAAAGCAAAGTCTTCAAAGGAAGGAAGAATTTAATGATTAGGGACTATTTAATTGATTGGATATTAGTTTGTTATAATAATATAGATTTAATTTTAGAATGAGCATATACTAGCTAGGATTTGTTTTAGTGAAATGGGTATGAGTTATACAATACAATCCATCTTGTGTGTGGCTGGTCATACCGTGTGGCCACTTATAATATAACAAACTAACCCCTATAACATATACCAAGTAACCTCTATAATACTGATCGACTAACCTTTATAACACTGATCGAATAACCCTATAACACTGACGAAGTAATTGACCAAATAATCCCTATTACACTAACGAAGTAACCCTTATAATGGCTGGTCACACGGTGTGGCCAACCACATATAAGAATTTGTGTATACCATATAAGACTTGTATGGTACCAAGCAAGTATTGGTGTATTTGGTTACGTTAGAGATTTTCCGTTTCTTAAGGTTACAAGATCAAATCCTTTCCATATTAGGCCATCAGGGTCCTTCTTCTTACTATTATGACCAATTCAACAATATATTATATGAAAATATGTGTTTTGTGTTACACCAGTAAAAAGTATTTTCTTCTCCATTCTTTTTCTTTGTTTGTTTATTGACCTGAGACTCGTACTGCCCCTGTAAAAACGTAAAATATGACCCTCTTTTGACCTAACTCGTGATCGACATGCCTAGTAACTAAATGGTGGCCTTTGTGAGCCGTGAACGGGCTGATGTAAAACTTGGGGGCAATTACCCGGGCCATGAGTGTCTAGATTGCCAGCCCAACTAATTTATTGCTGGTGAATTTCTGACTATTTAAGGGGTATTTTTGGAAATGTAGGATGACCCGTGACTCTGTTGACTTTGCTGACTATTTAAGCCCAACTCTTACAGAAGCTGTCAAAGTGTCTAGGCTTAAGAAGTCAACACAATGTTGACTTTGCTGACTTGTTGACCGCCCTTTAAAGGCAGCCGGACAATTCCTGGTCAATGGTATCATTGGTATGCTTGAGTTGCTAGGGAATTGCATGACGGTGGTATATTCCAATGGAATTCTGCCACGTGGCAACAGTGGTTGTTGTACTGCAGGATGGCAATGTAGTGCTGCTGAGTTCACTCAGTGAGTTACCTTGTGGCGAGGGAAGAAGTGAGGTCAGATAAAATGAGGACAATCTAAGGTTTTGGCAGCAAATGTACAAAGGTGTCAAGCATGGTTTAATGTGGTACGAAGCATTTGTAAGAATTTTTTATTTTAAGTGAGGAGAAGAACACCGTATTTCAACCCTTACGGTTTTTTAGTCCAGTTTTACAGGTCAGATACTTTAAGAGTGAGGAGGGAATTTAGGCAACGTTTGTTTGAATTCGTTTTTAAAATCACATACTTTAGGCAACGTCTGTTTGAATTTGTTTTTAAAATCACATACTCCCTCTGTTTTTTTTTTATATATAAGCTAGAGTTGGATTTGCACATTTGCCGAGACACAACTTTGACCATTAATATTTTTAATTAGAGATTAGTAAAAATTATGAAAAAAATAATTTATAAAAGTGGACATTATGACAAACCCAACAACATATTATATGATCATATTTATATATTATATATTGGTAAAAAAATTAAGTCAATGATAACCTATGAATAGTGGAATTTTCCAACTCTAGCTTATAAAAAAAAACGGAGGGAGTACTTTGTATGCTAGCACTAACTATTAACCTAGTATATATAATTATACTATGTACTTAGTATGTTGGAAAGCTTTAAAATACTTCTTATTATATACTTCGTATATACATCATCTATATTAAGTTTATAATAAAACTGTCTATAATAATTGTTATTTTGAGATAGGAGAGGTAGAATAGTTGGCTATCTCTTCAATTGACTTTTAGATGTGTAGTCAGGGTCGAATCCTACCATGTGTCCTTTGGGAATTTTTTTTCCTAAATTCCCCTTCATACAAGATATCTTGTGTGCCATAAAACACTATGTATCTTGTTCATATTATCATTGAATAAATTTTTATATTTATTGTAGGAACCTTCAATTCAATATTATTAACATAGAAAGAAAACACCCATAAAACAAAATTGAACAATTGAACTCCATACCATACACTCATGAAAAGCAAAATTTTGACATAATTTAACCAACCCATAAAAAATTATAGTGTCCATGCATGATTTCCATGGGTAAATAAAGCAATAAAAATAAAGAAATTAAAGGTCCAATTTGGTTTGTGCAAATTGTGGTACCTCCATTATTAGTAACGCAATTATATGGTTTAATCATCATTAACATTACTTTTGGCTTTTGCTGAATTGTAGAGTCAGTCGATCTTAATAAAATGCTTCCAATTAATTATCAAAGTACTATAATTAGCAACCTAGCTAAAGCTAGGTAGCTAGATGCAGCTGTATCACATTAATTCTGGAGCCTAACCATAGGATGATGGGAGCCTTCATCAGGTGAAATGAACCTTCTCCTAACCCTGCATGTGCCAAAACGTTACAACCCGAAACACAATCCGAACTGATAACGTCTGAACTCGATAGTAACCTGACCCATTTTAAATCAAAAACCGTTTAAACCCGGAAAAAATCCGATAAACCTAAATCGGTCCAACCCCTAACCCGTTATGACCGAACCATTTATAACCCGTAACCCGTTGTAACCGAACTGTTTCCAACCCGTAACCCGTTGAGACCGAATTACGACTTGTAACCCGTTAAGACCGAACCGTTTGCAACCGGTAATCCGTACTGAGTCGTTTACAACCCGTAACCCAATATATTTATGATCTGATTCGTTTCAACCCACTACTTGATAAACCTAACTTATTTATGACTTCACTTGATTATAACATGACCCGTTCCTACCCATTATCTGACTAACTCGACTCGATAATGATCCGACTCAATTTTAACCCAATATGATTTGGACTGAAACCCGCTTTAAATTGAGTAAACCCGTTTTCAAACCGACCAAGTTCAATCCAAACCGATTATGACCTGAACCGATAATGACCGGACCCGATTTCACCCAATCTGTTTTGAACTAAAACTCATTTTCACACCGACACAATTTAAGTCAAACTGATTATGACCCGAACGGATTACAACCCGATCCGATCATCCGATTAGGACCCAAACTGTTTTGAACCAAAACCCACTTTAAACTGGCCAAATCCGTTTTCAAACCAGCCCGGTTCAACCCAAACTGATTATGATCCGAACCAACTACAACGCAACCCGATTAAGACCCAAGCCGAATGGAAACCGCAATAAAAAAAAAAACCAAACCGAACTAACCTGATGATTTTCAAAACCGACCCGCTAATCATTTCAACCCGTTATAAACCGATTCGTTAAAACCCGACACTGATGAACCCAATCCAAACCCGAACTGTCTGCCCGAATTTACACCCAGGACGCTATCCAGTTAAAATGCGAAACTCACCTATACAAAAGAAGGGTTACTTGTCACACGTCTAAGAAAATGTCAAACTTGTTGACGTAATTGGCCGAAAGCTATCCTCTTTCCGACATGTACCAACGACGCTATCCAGTTAAAAAATGTCTCTCCAGTCTCCATAAGTCCCTACTGTATTAAATTGTTTTAATTTTCAAACAATGGAATGTTTTTTTAAGTTGCATTACTTGTATTTGGTGTAGTACATTTCCTACAAATATAAAAGAGTTATAAAGGTAAGAAATATAGGCGAAATTTAATCTTAACACCTTAAATGTTATGTATAATTGTCAACATATAATCAACCAATTCGTTCACTTTACCTTATTTTTGTTGAACTGAAATTATTTTTATTGAACTAAAATCATTTTTGCTGAATTTAAATTATTTTTACTGAACTGAAATTATTTTACTAATTTTATGTTATATTTCTTCTTTAAAGTTACTGATTTTTATTGAACTGAAATTATTTTTATTGAACATTTACTACGTATTAGAAATTAAAATTAATCGATCCCAGGATCTCCTGGAACCGTGAGGAAAGCTGTAACCACTTGAGTTATCCCTCACTCTCGCAATTAAAATTACTTATGAGATTTCATAAAACCACAACATTTTGTTAAGCGCTATGTTTTAAATGTAATATTTTAACGATTAATATAATATGGATTATAACTAATGATAATTTTTAACAATTGCATATTTAAATTTGAGGACGCATATAGTGATTAACCGGAGTGGATCCAATTAAGCAGCTAGGTCGTTTTTCCTTCCCTAGTTTCCTGGCAACGAGTCCTGCAATAATATTATGTCATTATCCAATTAGCAATAAAGTGTCCGGATCATCTCACTTAATGACAAATATACTCACCTTAATTATTTGTATTATGTTGAGGACTAATTATGAGAGAATGTTCAAAAGCTAATCTCTTGAAGTCATGTAGTGATCTTTTCTTTACAAGATCCATGTAAAGAGGAGAGGATCCGACTCATTTTTTTATTACTAATTTTGATAATACTCGAATTAATTAACTTCAAAGCAATGATTATGACGGGAGTAGCAAAGTTACTTAGCTGTCACAACTAGTGACCCAAATTAAATTATTTATATTATTACTTGCTCTTTAAAAAAAAAATGCCGAGTTAAATAAATTAAAATAGCTGATCTATGTGCCATATGTTGTTCACAGCTCTAAAGCGCTATGTTTTTTCACAAATTTTAAAACCTATCAACTAGGTCATTTGTGGTTAAACGTTAGGCGTTATGCACTAATCCATTGTTGTTGTTGTTTTTTTAAAAAAAAAATTGAATTGTCTAATTATAACAACTGGTCAATTGGAGTGACCTCAAATGTTAACATGGGATGTATCCAATTAGTAATAAAATAAATAAATAAACAATAATATGGAATAAGCCTTGACAGCAACGGTGAAACCATTCAAAATTAAGTGGTTTAAGTTGTTTGTTTAAAATTAAGCAGTTTAAGCTGTTTGTTCAAAATTAAACCGTTTGTATAAACATGCAACTAAAGAATAATTTTCTTCTACATTTACATCTTAAAATTAGTTTTCCTCCTTTCGTGTTTCGTAAAATAATAATCATTTTTTGAGAAAACATCTTTCATTCAACTAAACACACACTTTCTGTTTAATTAAAAATCTTCATTAAGCTAAACACAATCTAATAAGTAATATCAGTACGTAAAGAGACTGGTCACTTACTGGCCTCAGACCTAACAATAATTCACCCTACAAAACTAGAGTAATTGTTGGACTAATGTCATCCTTCATCTTATAGAGCAATTTCAACTCTCGTGTAGAAGATTGTTCTAACATAAATAGACGGACTGTCAAAGTAATTAACAAGTCAAGATAAGAGAAGAAATAGAACTACAAAACAAAACAATAGGAGGCTCAACTCATACGCCCATACCTCTCTAAATCACTTGAAAAAGTCTTTGCTTTTATTAAAACAAACACTATTCTCTTTCCATGCCGTCCAAAAAGAATTGGGTCTACTCTACAAGATCAAGATCAACTCCACAGCTGGCGCCTTTGGCTAATACTGCCCCTTATTTCTTGGGCAACCCCTCTTTTTCCCTCCCTACATTAAAACAATATCCCAAAACCCTCCAATCTTCATTCAAACTTCATCATCTCATTTTCCCTTTAATTATTTTTTAATTTTTAGTATTATAATATTACTATTTTTCTTATTTTCTACGTTTTTTATTTGCTAGCTACTTCCTTTGTCTTTCTCTTCATCTTTATCATTGCATTACCCAATTCTTAGCTGGACAATACCATACTTTTTCCTAGTATAAATACTCCTTCCTTCTTTTCATTACTCTCATCAAACTTAATTAAATCTTCTCTCTATTCAAACTTTAGAAAATATATTATTATTTCGTAATAGATTAAAATGCCTTATAGTAATTCTCATTTGTTAATAATAGCCACTCTTCTAGTAGTTTCTTGCTTCTTGCTTCCTTGCTCGGCTACGGCCCCTCGCAAGCTAGCTCTTGTACAACCTGAGCCTCTTATACTCGAATACCACAACGGCCCCCTTCTTAAAGGTAATTTATTCGTAAACCTTATTTGGTATGGCAAGTTCACCCCTATCCAACGTTCCATAATCATTGACTTCATACAATCACTATCCACCAGTTCAGCACGTACACTACAACCGTCGGTTTCATCATGGTGGCAGACTACCGAGAGGTATAGGGGAGGACCTTCCACCCTTACCTTAGGGAAACAATTCTTCGACCAAACTTACTCCCTAGGAAAAACCCTAACCCCGGCTCAAATCCTCGCTTTAGCCTCTAAACTCCCTCATAGGAACTCAATAAACGTTGTTTTAACGTCTTCTGATGTTACGCCTTATGAGTTTTGCATGAGCTCGTGCGGTGCACATGGGTCAGGTTTAGCGGGAAAACATAAGAAAATTAAGTTTGCTTATGCATGGGTGGGTAACCCGGAAAAACAATGTCCGGGTCAGTGCGCATGGCCCTTTCATCAGCCCATATACGGCCCACAAACCCCGCCACTCGTTGCCCCGAATAACGACGTTGGGGTTGATGGTATGATCATGAACTTGGCTACCGTGTTAGCTGGAGCCGTTACAAACCCGTTTGATAACGGGTATTTTCAAGGTCCGGCTGATGGTGGGTTGGAAGCGGTTTCGGCTTGTACGGGTATATTTGGGTCGGGTTCATACCCGGGTTATCCGGGTAAGCTCCTAATTGACCGAACTACCGGGGCAAGTTATAATGCATATGGGGCCCATGGGCGTAAGTATTTGGTTCCAGCAATGTGGGACCCGAAAACTTCGGCTTGTAAAACTCTTGTGTGAGGCGCCTTGCGTAGCACTAGTATCTTTTTGTAAAACAAAAGGAAGAAAAAAACAAAAAAAAAGTGTGTAAATATACGCTTATTCTTGAATACATTTGAAGCATGTAGAGTTATATGTTGTATCATCTACTTGTATGTCTCTATTTGTATTACATTGATTATTGTTTAAGTAAAATTATGAAAAAACAAATTTGTCTTTATCAATTTGATTCTTGTATTAACTATATGATTAAAGCGTTAAAGTTAGTATCATGCATGTTACTTTAGTTTAAGCTAAGTGATAATGCTCTATAAATTCACTCGTTGATTATTGTTACCTCTTTTCATTTGAGATTATAATCAGTGATATTATTAATAATTCTAGACATTTTAGATAAATTCTTAAAACAAAGTACTTTTTTTTTTTCCCTTGAAACATTAAAATAAAGTACTTATAACATACATTGTCGGAGCAACGTGTGCCTAGCTTGGTTGCAGTGATATGCATGTAATGGATGGATTGAGTAGAAATGGGTTCATGTAGTAGATGCATGCTCCTGGTCATGCAAGTCCAATTTCTTGTAACTCTATACTATAGTATACTGTACTATGTTAATTTTATTGGTTCGCAATCTTCACATGTCAATTACTAATATACACGAGTACGTACTTAATTAATTTTGATTTTAAAATTTGAGACAGACTAATGCATATGTGCTTATGAGAGTTATGCATGACTCTTATTGCCACGGAAGTGATTATGAAAATGTTCTTATATATATGGGTTTACTATATGCTTTTAATTTTACTTTGCTCTTGCATCCAAAGTAGAAGAATAGAATGTTGACATAATTTAATCCAACCTTTGATGAAGAATGTTTAACTGATTAACTGTGTAGGGGTTGGCAAGAATGGCAACGGCCCAATCTAGAAGAAAATTGTTGGAAAAATTGAAAAAAAAAAAAAAAAAAAAAAAAAAAAAAAAGTCGATATTATTACGTTATTTAATTTTCTTTGCCGATTTATATTTAGTTTAATTAAATAAATGTCTATGGTGACAAGTCGGCAACTAAATCACATCTTAAACTCGTTTACATTAAGATGATCGATGAGCTCAAAAAACTAAGGGGTCGTTTGGTTTGCACAAGGGAATCAGAATGGAATGCAGAAAGGGAATGGAGGAGAATGGAATGAAATCCTTAGAATTTAGGGTGTTGTTTGGTGAGAATGGAATGAAACCACCATAGAACCACCACAGCACAACCATTGCACCCCTTCCTTCATTAGTTTCCACCTTCTCCAGCCACGACACCGCCCAACCAACACCACACCGGAACCGGCCGTCCTTCCTCCGACCTTCGCCGCCCCTCCCCCGACCAAGTGACACTACTAGAAATAGGTCTAAAACCGACGGACAGTTTCCGACGGACATGAATTTCCATCGGAAAAATTAGAAATTCCGACGGATTTTTTATTCCGTAGGAAATTTCCGACGGAAAATATATCCGTAGGAAAATAAAGGATTTCAGACGGATTATTCCGTCGGAACGTTAAATTTCCAATGGAAAAAAAGTCCGTCGGAGTCTTCCGGCGGATTTTTCCATCGGAATATCAAACTTCCTACGGAACTAAAATCCGTCGGAAACTTCCGACGGAATTTGCTGTCAGAAAATTATGTTCTGACGGAAAATTCCGTCGGTATTCAGGTTAAAAAAAAAAAAAAAAAAAAAAAAAAAAAAAAAAAAAAAACCTACATTTAAAAGCCAGATCTTCCTATTTTATCACTCCTCTATTCCGCCTCTTTCCCTTCTCCCTCCTTCTCCCCCTTTCTCCTTCTCCCTCCTCTCCTCTTTCCCTTCTCTTCTGGTTTCTACTTCTCCATCCTCTCATCTCCTCGCCCTTCTCCCTCCTCTCCTCGCCCTCCTCTTCTCACGTTTCTCTTCTCCTCTCTCATTCTCTCTCCTCTCATCGCCCTCCTCTGCTCACCGTACATCACCTCCACCAGCACTGTCGTGCTCACGCACCACCACCGTCGTGCTCACACACCACCACCGTACCACTCTCATTCAAAGTTTATGGTTTTTTTGTTCAAACTCGACCTTGAAAATTCCAGATCTAGAATTTTCATGGTCGAGTTTGACCATTTAAACCCAACAAAGATGAAATTTCAAAAGGTATGTTTATTTTATTTAGTATTGTGAGTTAATTTTGAATTCGTGGGTTTATTTGTGATTTGGTTTTTTTTTTGGCTTTTATTTTGAATTTCTGAGATTTTTTTTGCTGATTTTGATTTTTGTATATTCAATTTTTCGTTTGAGTATTAGATCTGTTTTTTTTTATTATTATTTTGATTTTGTATATTCAATTTTGTATTATTTAATTTGCTGATTCTGTTTTTGTATATTCAATTTTGTTTTTTTTTTTTGATTTTGTTTTGCTGATTTTGCTTATTAGATCTGTTTCCGTTTTTTTTTTATGAATTTTCGTTTTTTTTTTATTCTGGGTGGCAGTGGTCTGGGTGAAGGTGGTGGCTGTCCGAATGTGGTTTAGGTGGAGGTGGTTGGGTGGTGTGGGTGTGCATGGATGGGTTGGAGGTGGTTAGGCGTGGTGGTGGGTGTGGGTGTGGGCGTGGGCCGGTTTGGGCTGGTGCAGGTGGTGTTGAAAAGGGTTTGTGGGTGGCTGAAGGTGGTGGTGCTATTTTTTTTTTAATGCTGTTTCCGACGGAATTTTTCGGTAACCGGAACTCCTCTTCCGACGAGAAAATTCCGTCGGAATTCTGTCGGAAAACTCCATTCCGACGGAATTTCCGACGGAAAAGGCCGATTTTCCTACAAATGGGTTTACGACAACCTGTTCCGACGGAATTTTTTCGTCGGAAATTGCCTGTTTTCTAGTAGTGTGAGGTCCGTCAAACAGCAATCCACACCGGAACCCTTCTCGTCCTCAACCTCAACAATCCCGACCGAATCCTGACCAAAGTGCAGCTATCGAACTTCCCCAGCAACACTGAGGGTTGGGCCGTAATTCCGACGATTGTTCGCCGCCCCTCCTCCGACCTGGTGAGGTGCGACCGGTTGTTCCGATGGAGGGGAGGGTTTTTAAAGGTTACACGAGGGTCGGGAGAAGGGTTTTCGGGTGGGAGGAGAGGCAGCGAAGGGCGGCGAGGGTCAAAGGAATGCCGACGAGCATCCGGCGAGGTGAAGCAAGTTTCGGCGAGGTACATCAAGTTCCGGCGAGGTGCATCCAGCTGATGGGGTATGGTGGTGGTTGGGGAAAGGGAATGGGAAAGGTAGGGGGGATGGGGAATGAGATTAGGAGGATTTTAGGTAAACCCAAAAATAAAAAAAGGGGAATGGGAATGACAAAAAAGGGAAAACAAACACCAACAAAGGTAATCATTCCCATTCCCTTTCCCCATTACAGCGAACCAAATGGCCCCTAAGTATAAACGACTCTCACGATGATGAAATTTGGAGATGTAAAAGGACAACATGGTAGTTTATTCTTGTGAAATGGAGGTCGTTAGAGATAAAAAAAAAATATATATATATATATATATATATATATATATATATATATATATATATATATATATATATATATATGGTTGACACTTGACATAGGCCGATAGGAATAAGTGACACATTTCACAGGATCACTTGACATATTATTATTGATGTTGGATTAAGTTCTTTACAAAATTACCCCAAACTCCTAATAGACTTTCATTGCCAATTTGCCATTGAGCTTTCTTAATTTCCTCTCACAATTAGAGTGAATGTAGCCTTGTAAGATTGGGCTAATGGCTTAGCTTAAGCAAATATAAAACTATAATTGTGGGCGGACCCAAGACATAAATTTGGGCCAAGAAGCAATTAATGAGATCCACTAATAAATTAACCCAAATCCAAAACCTAGTTTGGTATTTTATTCTCCATGATTAGTCCATTTATAATGCACGAAGTGGACCAAGTGATGGTAGAAGAACGTCCATACTAGAGACAACTCGTTATGTCTCTCCCGATTTGTTGCGTGATCATCATGCTTCACTGATTAGTTGATTACTCTACTAGAGTAGGGTAGTGGACTTACTTTCATTTTTTACGAGTATTTTTTTTTTCTTCTTATTATTATTCCTCTTCTATATATTGACATTTTTTGGTAATTGACTGTTAATTGTTGGTTGTTTCTCTTGGCTGGTCTGACTAGCTGTTTCTCTTGGCTGGTCTGACTAGTTGTTTCTATTGGCTTTTTATGTTGGTTGTTTGACTGTTGGTTGTTAATATGTTTGATAAAGTTGGTTGTTGGCTGTTGGTTGTTGGTTGTTTTATATAAAAATTACCTTTAAGAGAATTGATATATTTTATTATCTTTGTATTGCAAATAATAATAATAATAAGGGGTCATGCTATACATAGCCCTTATGGCTATATATAAGCATTAAAAATACTCTTGAAAATTGTATAAAATTAGGAATTCATGACAAAAACACGCGTGAATCAGTGTAATTAGTGTGTTTTTGACATGAATTCCTAATTTTATACAATTATCAAGAGTGTTTTTAATGCTTATATATAGCCCTAAGGGTTATGTATAGCATTTTCCTAATAATAGTAATAATTACTACTTATTAATAAATAACAATTATTAATTAATCTACTAATTATTTATTTTATTAATATATTAATTATTACTAATTAAAATAAAAAAATTATTATTATTAATGATTAGGTATTAATAATTAATAATTATTTATTGATTATTATTAGTTATTAATAGTTAATTATCATTATTAATAATTATTATTAATTAATTATTAATAATTGATTATTAATACTTTATATTAATTATCAATTATCAATTACTAATTTTTAACTATTAATTACTAATTACAAATTACTAATTTCTAATTATTAATTAAAAGTAAGGATATTAAAGTAATTTTAATGGTAAAAAGCCAAAAGCCAATACCAAAAAGCTAGTAAGACTAGTTTTTTATTTTTGGCAGAAAAGCCGGCTTTTTAGCCAACAAAAAAGGCATTTATCAAACACTTTTTTTTTGGCTATTTGACCAACTTGAAAAGCCAAAAGCCAAATAAAAAGCCTAACAAAAGCCATTTACCAAACAAGGCCATTCTCATTGTACGAAATATCCATAGCATTTAATATTTTTTATTTTTTTTTTACCATTTTCTTGGTTTGGTAAACCATGATCATTATTAAGA